AATATTCATTGTACAGTGTTCTGGTACAATATTCATTGTACCAGTATATTACCTGACGAAGCTACTGTGTTAGCGAAACATGTCGTGTGTTTAATAAATTTTGTGGAAATCTTATCGTTTGTGAAGTTTTTACATTTATCATGAATTTCCATCAAGTAACGGCTGAGTCAATTCAAAAAAAAAAATACAATGAATAAGTCATTGTGTAGGTCTCTTATTTCGATGGACCTATAGAGAATTTCCACACTATGTGTACTTGTGTAGACCCGGTAAAAGAAAAGCGAATGCTTATTTAAATGAAAATGTCACGAGATTCAATTTTTTTCAAATCTGACCTCGACCAGTTGGAGTCAGTGGCAGCGAGGCAACGAGGATTCGCTATCATTTTGTCAGAGAGGTATACTTTCTGAAGGTTATTAGCATTTCTCTTTTCTGAAACTTTTGTTTCTCATAACAGTGTATTTTATTCTTGAAAGAACATAATGATTGTCAACCATTATGACCAGAATTTTTTTTTCTGATCTTGAAAACTGAAATGTTGAAAAAATCCGTTCAATTTTGATGAACCTTGCAAAACTTTCGACAGTCTCATGTATACTGAAAATCTCCAGAAATCTCTCAATCCTTGATGAATCTCGTAAATCCTTGAGGAATCCTTAGGAATCCGAGAAATCTTGAAAATCTCGAAGATTTTTGGGAAATCCCAGGAATATTGATGAATATTCAGGAATCCCTCAATCTTTGATGAATCCAATAAATCCTAAGAAAATCCCTAGAAATCTGGAGAAATCTTGGAAATCTTGCAAATCTTGAGGGATTGCTACAAATCTAATCAATATTGCTTCGAATCTCACAATATCCAATATGGTGTACACATTTTGTTGAAGTGAGACACCCCTCGTGTTTCTAATACATAAATTCATCATCTACCTTATTGTAGGAGAACGTAGTGCCTGAAAGATGAGAATATCCAGCTTGGGTCCCATTGCAATATAATATGGGTCATCAATCTCTTGTCCATTCAAAATGCAAGACTGATGTGGATCAAAAACTGAGAGCAGACAAAAGGTTCAAATCATGAATCAAGCATCAGAACCGAGAGACCTGGAGGTATGTTCTCAAGAAAACACCTGATTACCTAATACTACTACTACATTATTTTTCATTTATTTTAGTGTAATGAAGAAAGTGTCCTGGGAGATAAAGAAATAGAAGAGAAAATTGGTGAAAAGAAGGTGAAAATCTACAAGATTATAAGTACTTTTAAAAATTACAGTTTGTTGTGATTTATTTTTATCAATTATAAATGTAAAACAAATAAAGTAAGTATATCAAAATAATTGTAATATTCATTAAATGAAAAGTACATTGTATTATTCCACTATATTACAAAAGATCTACATTAGTCATGAAAAAATCTTCATAGAACATTATAGTTATTCAGTGATCTGATTGAAACAATAATAAACAATGATTGAATGATATATTTATTATTAATAGGTACATATTTTTTATAGAACTTGTTGAATCAGAATTCACAAAACCATGCTGATTCTGGTGTACCTGAAATATCTGCACATTCAAAATAGAACCATACAATTTCCCTTTATCACTGTCACAACTATAGTCATAGGGGTTCCATCATATCAGCTCTTGAACACTTACACCAATAGTTCACTTCTGGTGAAATTAATATCCACCCAAAAGTCCATCAGGTATTATAACTTCGGCATGAAACTTCAAAGCAATTTGTGAATGTTGTTCCCAAAAAACACATTTCTCTGGACATTGAAGATATAGTAGGGATTTTGTATTAAACCATTCAGAGCAACTGTACCTATGTCCATTTCTGCTATTGGTATGACGATGGGCACAATCATGGTGAGAGTGGTGGCATGGGTCACAAAGCACATACATCAGTACATGAAACTGTTCCTTATTTACTTGCCCAAGCCTCAAGTTACTTATTAGCACAGAATCTGATTGTGAATTTTTCACCTATAAAAAAATTGCATAAGATATACATGAATATGAGGTAGGAAATATATTTAAAAATATATGAATAACATAATTTCATCATTCAAAATGTTCCTATCATGAAAGGTATTTAGGTATAAAAGTAAAAAGTTACCTTTCCATCTATGACATGAAATCATCCATCTTCCTGTCTACTTTCTGGACAATAGTTGCTGAAAAATACTTGTGAACAACAAGGGTTTTGAATGCTTTCATTTGCTCATGAGGGTAGAAACTGTGGGTCACTATATATAGTAGGAGAGTATAATTATGAGGTAGTCTAATCAGTCAGCAGTTTCAGATGTGGAGGGCTTCAAATCCTTGATCAACATCAGCTTCGTCAGATATCTACAAACAAATTATGGTTGTATGATAGTTTCAGGAATGAAAAGTTACTGGTTAGTTAAGAAAAATAGCCGAAAAAACAATAAATATCATGTTTACCTCTGACCAACCTCTGGGTTTTCCTGCAATAACTTCTGGAAATATGAACTCAGCATAATTGAAGCACTGTTCAATTCAGCTCCGAGACTCCCTCAAACACCTGACACATAAAACTACCAGAATAATAGGGTGATTCGGGCAAAATACAATTTAATTACAAGTGATGTATAATCTTTGTTTGCCAACCAGACGCCATCTTGTCAGCTAAAATGTCACGTGGTTTGGATTGCCTAATTAACTTCTATAAGGTTACCTCATAGTATAGCATTATGGTGCGGGGGTGCGCGGAGGGGCGTGACGTCAGTGTTTCCCCACCACGTGATTGTAGATTTCGTTTGTGTCACTGTCAAATGAATTGAAAAAATTTTTGAATTTGAATTCGAAAGAATCGCGAATTTGATAGACTTTTAGTTGAAAACAGGGTGACAAGAAGACTGAAGATATCTTTGAAAGAGTGTGAGAGGTTGTATAATAATATGGTGTAGTATTATTCAAGGCTGGTCACATCATAAATATCATAATATTATTGTGTGGAGTCAAGAGTGGATATAGAACAAACAAATGTTATGAAATGCCTGTTTGGCAGCCTCCACATGAGATTCAGATAATTCCAAAGGAAAATGATGAGCTGTGGCAATGTGAATGTCCCTGTGAAGCAGGCATGTCACGGTTTTGTATACACATTTCATAGGGACTTATATTGACAGGTAGGAAGGTGCACTTTTGATCTATCACACACACAGGTAAAAAATACATGAAATTTCAGGAATGAAGACTTGGAATATGTGAAGCTGCATATATAACAAACAGAAGTGGTGAAAATTGAAAAAAGAGAGTAGATCAATCAATGATCTATTATACAGCCAAACCATTTCAATAGTTCTGCTACCTGCTTATTAAAAGAAGGAAAGTGACCCCCTAAAATCATTCTTCCTTTATATAATTGAAGTTAATTTTACAGGGTATATCAGTCTATTTTGTTTTTTGTTTGGAAGCCAATGAACTCAATGTAAACAACTAGCTATTGCATGGTACTCAGGAACACTGGTGAGTTTATTAAATTTTACTTATACTTGCTACTTCATTTTTACATGTAGCAAGAAGTCTTGGGAAAAAAGGCAATCAACTTCTTCTTTCCAAAGGATTTTTCAAATAAATTTGTTCAGCATGGAGTTGGATATGAATCCAAAGCTCTTTCAAAATGTTCATTGAAAATGATATTGAATTTCAAATCATGCAAACAAATTTGTGTCCCAATATTTTCCATGGTTAGGATTTTCTCAATATGAAATTATTTTTCAGGAAGGAAGACCATGGAAATAAAGTGTCCTTACTGAGGTCCTTACATAGAGGTTTGTTAAATAATGTGTATTACATTCAGCTTGAATTATTTTCTCAAAATTTTAGGTAAAGGTTCAGAACATTTTGTGGAACAATGCCATTTCTTGATAGGAGATGGTATAAAAAATGTGAAGTTGGAAGAGAGACACACTTATGATGGATAAATTCAGTTGGGAATAATGGCCCTAAAATGTCCCTAATGAACTTGAAAGAAACTAATTTTCTTGTATGATTCTTCTTTCTCCAAAACTTACATAAAGATTCCAGTTTTTTTGTGATACATTTTGTGTTAATGTTATGAGGAAGATATCTCAAAGATATTTCCATTATGTTGCACTTTTATTGCATTAATAAAATGGAATGAATTGTGATGACTTCTTTATTAATTCATTTTCTTATTATTGCATTTTCAAACAATAATATGTTCCAAATTGATACTGAAATAAAACCAGTGAGTTAGAATCATTCAATTTATTCAGAAGGAAATCCTCTTTAGTTAATTGTTTCTCAGAAATCAATTTCAAGATATTTCTTCACATCCCTTGTCAGCATGCCCTTATCCACCATGATTTCATCATTAGGTTCAGACTTCCCAATAACATTTTCTTTATTAAAAAATGCTTTATCAGTAGTTCAACCTCCATATCCTTATTAATGCCAACAGTAATCAGTCCTAATGGAGTGGTATTGCAATAAGAATTTGACTGAGTTTCTGTAATGTGTCTGTACAACAGGAGCACTGAGGAACACACCTTTCTAGATTTCTGTCTTCAGTCTTTTGTACTTGCTGCATGTTTTGGGAAAACAGTGAACAATCTCTTGGACACAAAAACATATTGGAAAACTTCAAAATTTATCAATATTCACTTGATTGCACAATGCTAAATTTGTTTGTTTTGTTTTTCACCTCCGCCATTTTCATTTTGCCGTTCGACAAAAGACGATGGGGAAACAGTGACGTCAGGGCAGGTTAATATGAGGCAACCTTATAGAGTTGAATAGCCTTGGCTTTGGTAGTCGTAGTTTGGTGACGTCACTTGACCTCGATGTTTGAAAGATTCGCTAGTATATCTAGACGCTTGTCCGAATGCAGTGCATCTGTCAAATTAACTCTCAAACGTCAGTCAGGAACCGTCAATCTGTCAGTATTGTCGAATGTCGATTATGTCAATATTGTCAATTGTCAGTTCTGACAATTGGAACTCGAGAAACTTTTCGGTTTTCTTCCTGTTTTCATTTTTCTAAAAAAATTTCAGTCTCAACTCTCATATTGTTACTTTAATTATGATACAGCGATTTTAGATTTTTTAAATATTGCTGATGGATCTGCGGGGTAACATGGTTTGGGCATTGGAAATCTAAAAACTGATTTAAAAGGTGAGTCGGATGCAAGGATTGGAACTCTTCTTGTTATATCTTTCATGTACAAAAGTTTCTCTTTTATTAATTCACTATCACAACATGGTCAATTTACTGGTAATTTTCACATTTCAAGTATGTCTAATTTCATAGAATGTTGACATTCAGGTTATTAAAGGTTTTATACTAGAGTAAAATATAGTTATGTTGAATTAATAATGATTGATCATCTCATTCAATTCATTTCACAGTTTTTCTTGCATAAAATAATCATGATGAATGCTGGCTATATACCAGAAATGGAACAAATAATAAGCCAGCTTGAGAGAGGTACCTTGGTTACAAAATTTTCTTGGAGAAAAAGACCAGAAAGCAAGACTCTAGCCATCAAGAGGGAAACTAGACAATTGATTTGGAAACGAGTAGTTACTACTAACAATCCCACTAATGATGGGTCAGTGGATCTGGGAGAAGTAAAAGAGATCAGACCAGGAACTGGTTCCAAAGACTTTGAGAAATGGCCAGATGAATCAAAGAAATCAGAAAATAAGTCCTTCATTGTGTTTTATGGGAGTGAATTCAAGCTGAAGACATTGAGCATTGCTGGTAAGATGTTCATCAAGGTACTAGGTATTGGGATAGTATGTGCAGAAAGTTGTCTTACAAAAATATCCAACATCAGCTTACAGAATCAATGGAGGCAGTTACATGAGAAGAATAAATAAAATTCTACAATCCTTGTTTTGAATTTTTCTACTAGGGATCTACTGCTTAATTTATTAGACCAGGGTTGATAATTTTTGAAACTGAAAAAAAAAGTAGAATGAAACCCATTGGAAGAGGAAGAAAATATAACAGAAATGAAAGAAAAAATAAATTACAGTGGATCTGAGGTCAGGAAGGTTAGCTTTTGAGGGTAAAAGATAGTATTTCTGGCAGAACTACAAGTCCTATGGAAAAAAGTTGAAGGGCAAAGTTGTAGCTAATAATAAGATCTATAACTCTTGTATATACACTTTTTCCACATAACTTCAAAATTGATGTAAAAAATTCCAATGAACAAGTTTTTGGTTTTTTATTTCTCTTATGAAAAAAATCATTACATTTTCTGAAAACTTAGGTTTTTATGTCCCAAACACTGATGGTGTAAATATATATATATATACATTACTGTAGTCAATGTTCTCAGAAAATGCAAAGAAACAAAACAGCAGTCAAATTTTTTAGTTGAAATCCCCTTTAAATCCAATCTTTGTTAGATCAATTATTTTCACATGTTTTTTGCAATCTTAATGTTTCATGGATTTTTTTCATTTTGTTTATCAGTGAACATGGAATCTTATGTTTTTTCAAATTTGTACATAATGATGAAAAAAAAAAAGGATTCCAGTTTCCTTCCTTTGCATTTTCTGAGACCATTTACCATAGTCATCAGAAATTAGTGATTTCAAGGAACTTTTTCAAAAAAGCAGATATTTTGACATGAGAAGTTTTTATTGAAAACTTGGGTGTTTTTTCAATTTTAAGTCAAAATAAAGTAAAAAAGAAAATTCCAAATCAGAAAAATTACAGTATATTTGAGATATGGTGAGGTAAGTTCTCACAAAATTTCATATAATTTTTTTTTAAGATAAAAATAAAAAAACAAGAACTTGGTTATTTGAATTTTTCACATAAATTTTTAGGTTATGTAAAAAAATTGTAGATATAAAGTTAGACATCTTTTTATTTATGTACCACTGCCCCATCCAACTTTTTTCCATAGGGCTGGAAATCAAGTTAAAACATTTTGCACCCTTGAAAACTCACCCCCCCCCCCCCTACCACTTCCTGACCTCAGATCTCCACCACCATTTTCCCTTTCATCTGCCTATGTCTGCCTTCTATGCTCTTCCTTTTCCAATGAGTTTCATCCTACTATATATTTTTTTAATTTTTACCTGATTTTTTCTATTTTCAAAGGCTTCATTACTGATCTATATTAGCCTATACACCCTATACATAATATGATATATTCATATTGTATCACAATGATAAGATTTACATGTTCTCTGTGGGACCATATTATGCAATAGAATATAAAAATGAAGTGGAATAAAAGTGCTTCATCCACAACTGTCATGTAATGATTATGATTTGACAATTTTTTGAATGTGATGATGATGTTAATTACAGCACTAGTGCTTCTTTGAATCCATTACTGCACTAGTGCGGTAATGAGATAAGAAATAAATCTCAACCAAAATAAATCCTTTATTGAAGAAGAAAATTCAAATAACACTTGTCACAGCATTTTCAATATCCAATGATATCACAGGCAACTTGTGTTTTCAATTATCAGGAGACTGTCATGAGTAAGTATGTGGAAGTGGAATATCAATGAGGTACATTTTGAGATAGTTTTAAAAACGTTGACAGTTGTATATAAAATTTTGTATGCAATGCATGGGATACTACATTATTAATGCACTCATGTGATTACATGACTCAGCCTATGGCTTTGTCTGGCAATCCTCACATGCGTGCGTTAATAATTTCTATTTCCCACTTGTCAGGTAAATAACTATTATTAGAATTATTCATGCTTTCTCTGCAAACATACTATAATCTAATATACAGCACTTATTTCAAGAACACCTTGTATAAAATTCTCCTGTCCCAGTCACTGTGTTAGTGTTAGTGACCAAACTCCTCTGAAACGGCTCCACCAATTCCTATGAAAATTTTTGTGTGTATTCAGTTGGTATGAGAATCGATTGTAATCTATTTTTTAAATCGAAAATTCAAGATGGCGGATCCAATATGGCGGACTAGTTTTGTAATCCGATTCTATTCAAAATTGGTATCTGGGGATTTTCGGCGTCGGAGATTATGATTTATTCGTCAAAATTAGGAAATTCAAAATGGTGAATCCAATGTGGCGGACGAGTTTTCTAATCATGGACCGATTCTATTCAAAATTGGTATCTGGGGGTTTTCCGAGTCGGAGATTATGATTCTTTCGTCAAAATTTGGAAATTCAAGATCGCGGATAAATTTGGAAATTCAAGATCGCGGATCCAATATGGCGGACGACTTTTGTAATTATGGTCAGATTCTATCAACATTGTTAACTGGGGATTTTCGAGGTCGGAGATTATCTGGGGATTTTCGGAGTCGGAGATAATTCTTTCATCAAAATTTGGAAATCCAAGATGGCAAATCCCATATGGTGGACGAGTTTTGCAACTATGATCCGAATCCATTCAAAATTTGTATCTGGGGGATTTTGGGGTCGGAGATTATGATTATTTCATCAAAATTAGGTAATTAGAAATGGGGGATCCAATATGGCGGACGAGTTTTGTAATTATGATCCGATTCTATTCAAAATTTGTATCCAAAAACGGTCGGAGATTATGATTTTTTTCTTCAAAATTGGGAAATTCAAGATGGCGGATCCAATATGGCGATTAATAAATAATAATTAGTAGTTTGAAAAACTATAATGAAACACGCTTTTATGGATAGCCAAACTCGAGGCCAAACTGAATAGAAGTAGAAAATGGATAGTAGTATAAGAAACGGGGATAGATTGTGGAACTAAAAAGAAGTAGAAATTAAAAATAGTACTTTGAAATACTAATGAAACGCACGATTTTATGGATAGCCAAACTGAAAAAAAGTTGCAAACAAGATAATAAAAGTATATTGATGAATATTTAACTAAAAATATATTTTCTAGAAATAAATATATATAGCAAACGTTTGCCGGGTATCAGCTATTTTAATAAATAGTAGTTTGAAAAACTGATGAAACACGTTTTTATAGATAGCCAAACTAAAAAGAAGTGAGTAGAAAATAAAGAGTAGTTTGAAAAAATGAAGAGATATAGAGTGCCGAACTAAAAAGAAGTAGAAAATAAAATGTAGAAGCTAAAGAATCCCGCTTCAATAGATAGCCAAACTAGAAATAAATTGATGAAAATTTATCTGAAAATTTTTTCCTAGAAATAATGCTTATGACAAAACAACGTTTGCCGGGTCAGCTAGTAAAGATATACCTATATTAGAATATTTGATGAATAGGTATAAGTTGATCCATATACCTATTAATTCTCATAATATCTCTACACATTTTTGTTGCAATTTTGCTCCAAATTTTGAAAATTGATAAATTTCTCATAAAAAAAAAGATTCTGCACCTGTCACATTTTTGTCATGGATCTACTAAATAACCAAGATATTTCAGCATGGATCTTTTGGTCAATACTGATTATAATCATCTGAAATATTTTATTTGTTATGTTATTCGAATTATACATTCATTTTGAAAATTGGAATTCACAAAAACATTCAGAAGAAATCAGTACTTTAACTATTGTACTGTTAATCAAAAGAAAATAATAATATAAGAAATTATATCAACTGTTTCTATTTCCAACTATCAGCACTGTCTGAAGCCGAATGTACTCTCTGGATAAAAGGTCTTAAACATCTAGTAGATGATACAATGAAAGCTCCCTATCCACTACAAATCCAGGGTTGGCTTAGGAGAGAATTTTATGCAATGGAAAGTTCCAGAGAAACGTAAGTCCAACATCAGAAAAAAAATGTCTCATTGAAAAATAATATGTTGTAGGATAAACTTGAAGGATCTCAAATCATTCTTTCCTAAGAAAATGTCAACCAATAAATTGAGAGAAATGTTCAATGAAGTGGATACCAGGAAAAGGGGAGAGATTGGATTTGATGATTTTGCCAATTTGTACCAAAAAATAATGTTTGAAGAAGGGGTAGGTTGTTTCTGATGGCAAAACTTTTCATGCAGTTGTTTTATCCATTTTTCATTCCCTCATCAATTCACATTTCCTTTCATGTTCCATATCTCATGTTTATATGAAACGTAAGAAAATCGCATAATTCTTAAAAATTTTAGACAATCTTGTATGCACTAACATTACTTTTTATTGTTATTATTATTTTCAATCTGAGCGAGTTTTTATTTCATTTTTCTGTTTCTCTTTTGATTACCTCTTGGTTATTCTATGTCTGCAATCATAATGAAGGGAGTGATGGAATTTTCAAGTCAATTCTAAGATTTAATAATCACATATAAATGAGGCAACAAATTCCGAAATATATGATTGTACTATCATATTTTTCCATTTCCTGAATGTTTGGCTGATGACGGACATTTGATAGGTCCGAAACATATTCCAAACATTCATCTGTGATTAAAACTTGGAGAGATGACGTAGGTGTCCTTTTTTTCCTGAATACATTCATTCTACTGTTGGATAGAATACCTTTGTTTAAAAACTGCCGACTTTTTCCTAATGATTTGTTTTCCTTTCAAGATGGGTAGCGATTTATTTGACAAATTATCACAGTATTCCTCCAATCTGAAAATAATCAGTTTGCAAGATGTGGAAAGCTTCTTGGTGCATGAGCAAAATGACCCTTTGGGAAACGATGACAGGGCAGTGTCCCAATTTATCTGTGATTTCTTGAAAGATCCACAAAGAGAGATTCAAGAGCCCTATTTCACTGTGCCAGAATTCTTAGACTTTTTATTCTCCAAACAAAATGATGTCTGGGATCCCACCAAGAATACCGTTTATCAAGATATGTCTAAACCTTTGTCACATTATTGGATCTCATCTTCACATAACACGTAAGTATGCTAAAAAATAAGGAATTATTCAATATTGTTCCATAAATTACGCCAACCTCAGACTTCATAACGATAGACACCATGATTCATTCATAAACCATCAAAAAGTGTATGCTAACAATCCCAAACTCCAAACATGGATAAATGAATCAAATCATGAATGGTGGGGATAACTCTGTGAAATCATTGTCAGATAATTGATACTCTTCATAGATATTTTTTATATAGGCAATGACGGCTAAATATCTGGACCGTCTGACGGGTTATACATGACTGTTCATTCAGCGAAAATCGCTAAATCGCCCAAATGACTTCTCCCCAAAAGACGGCAAGTAAACCCCTCTGGTGGAGAATACACTGAACTGAGTGATTGGACAGTCATGTATAACCCGTCAGACAGTCCAGATAGTTAGCCGTCATTGATATAGGTATCTAATAAATCGAGATTTCTATAAATGTGTCTATGTGCATTAATAAATCAACATTCACGAGTTGTAACTTGATAAGTCATTTTGTAACGTCTTAGTGAGGTTATTTAATATTTTTAAAAAGCTTTTGATCAAAAATAGGAAACTATCTGTGAAATTTCAGGGTAGGATATGTTTAACTAACCTCTCTTTACTGGTTTGACACTGTGGAACCATATTTATTCACAACATAGTCTGTTTGTAGGAAAAAATAAGAACATTAGTAATGTCACCAGAAATCTTATTTTCGTAATTTTCATTATTGAACTCAATTAGATAGGTACTGATATGTGTAGTCAAATTCGCCAATTTGTATATCGCTACTTCAAAGTTGGGAACCAACTCCCCAGAAGTCGAAACTTGTGCGGGGTTAGGAAGAGAAGGGCCTACAGCTTATAGTGGAATCCGAACCACTTCTAGGGCATCGAGGTGCTGCTAGGATTACAACCATAAATCACACATTTTAAAGAAAAATGCTCAGCCGATAGCCGTATTCGAACCGACAGTACCTTCTCATCGTGAATCTAGCGAATTTCAGCACATAGACAAACTCGGCAACGGCGCCCACTATGAGTATTTTTTTATTATGAATATGTCTTAGAAGTGCTTTCACTATTTCTGAGAATAGTGCAGGCATGTTTTTCCAGTGTACGTTGAAAGGAGAATTTGTGATATCAACGATACATTTATCTGCGAGTATGCGATAGTGGTATTCAAGGTAACGAATGTTGAGCCATTGGACATCAAAGGCGGCATCAAAGCTTTTATATCTGGTTGTTGGGTGATCTGTGATAATGTCACGTGACCCTAGAAACCATTTCCTTCCAGCTACTTGACCGGCGACCAACTATCCAGCGAGTCATCTCTTGAAGAAGATCTACTTCAACATTGAGTTCAAAGATCCCACCCGAACAAACATACATTGCAAGTTGAATAAAAGCTTTCAAAATGAATCACTAGACAACCAGGGATATCCTGTAACGATTTGACTCGTTTTTTTGTCGAGGTGATTGAAATCCTTTATGGACATCATATGGGTCCAATCCCTTATATGATAGTGTGAGTCCCCTGACTTTGTTGTTTCCCAGAAGCTCTTATGTTTTGCCTGAATCCAGTTTCAAACTGACACTCGTGCTGTACGTTTTGGTAAAAGTTTGTCCTGGATCTGGCTCGTTGTCCGACCCTCTTCTTGCAAGTTCGTCAGCCTTCTCATTGCCAGCGATCCCCTGATGGCCTGGCACCCAGATTAGCTTGACCATTGTCGTTCTAGATCACAACCTAGTTAGGTAGTTAGTAGGCAGGAGCTATACCTCCTCGCACTAGGTCGCCTACTAGGTTTCCATTTAGATCGATAATGGCTTCACGCAGTTCTGGTCTGCCAAATTTCTCAGTTCTCTTGCAATCCCATACCTTATTGTTATTGCCCAGTGTATTTGGCAGTCTGAAGGCACCAAGCCTAGCCTCTCCCTGTACCATCAAGTAGAGGGGAGGCAGATCCAGTAGTGTTTTCATGGCTGCGGTTGGCGTTTTTTTTTATGTTCTAGTTCCCACGAAAAGGGATATCGTGTAATGTTCGAGAACATCGTGAAAACCAAGGGAAATTAGGTTAGGAATTGGTGTTCTTCTTAAATTTCTAGAGGTATTATGCCTCGGGGAACACCTCCCTTGGCAATGTGTTCCAGAGCCTCGCTGTTCGTTGAATGAACGAGTCTTTGGAAAGAGATGTTCTGCAGGTCTTCAAAGTGACCAAGAAGGCGAAGCCTCAACTCGACGGGTTAATGACGCGTGGACTGACAAGGGAGGAACAATTGTTGATATTTCAGAAGAGCATCGTCCATGAAAATTTCTATTGAATAGAGCCAGATCGCCAACTTTTCTACGGTGTTCCAGAGAAGTGAGTGAGTTTGTGACCGAGGCATCACCCACGAGACCAATTGCCCTTTTTTGGACATAATCCAACAGTTTCAGGGTATGTTTGGGTGCTGCACTCCAAATATGGGAACAGTATTCCAGGACAGGCCGGATATGTGCCTTATAGATCATAAGCAGCTGACTGGAAGTGAAATAACTCCTGGCCCGAAACGTAAAGTTTTTGGGATGCACTTTTAGCAATTGATCTCACGTGATTTTCCCAAGAAAGGTTATTGCTGATAGTGATATCAAGCATCGAAATGGATGTCTTCAAAAGTATGGTTACTCCTGACAAGCTTATGTTGAGCACAGTGAGATCGGCTTTTCTAGAGAAAAGGCATGCTTGTGTTTTATTTGCATTGAAATCTACCAAGTTACTGGATCCCCATTCGAAAATTGATGCCAAGTCCATATTTATGTTGTCAACATTTCTCCCTCGTTCATTTCTGATTTGCCTGGCTGGTATTGGAGCCCTGGAAGAGAAGGTGGTAAGGAGGGTTCTATCATCCGCGAAGCTATGTACTGGATGTGAAGTTGCTTCTAAAAAATCGTTGATATGGAGTAGAAATAGTGTTGGTGCTAGAATTAATCCTTGCGGAACACCAGCATTTATGATAAGAGAGTCAGATGAAACTCCATCGACCACTACATGGGGAGACCTGTTTGAGAGAAAACTAGCTAGCAGATAACATAGCTGGGTAGGCAAGCCATAAGATGGAAGCTTGTCGAGGAGTCCGTGGTGCCAGACTCATGGCCCCCGTAATTCCTAGACATGCAAGTCTTTGTATCTTCTTCTTGTTGGTAATTTCATGTTACCCCAAAAATCGTTTCCTTCCAGTTACTTGACCGGCGACCAGCTATCCAGCGAGTCATCTGTCGAGGCGTACGTGCGCTGTCTGCGCATGGGCTGTCGGTGCATCGAGCTGGACTGCTGGGACGGCCCAGATGGGTACCCCTTTATTTACCATGGCCACACGCTCACCACCAAGATCAAGTTCGTGGACGTGATCAAGACGATCAAAGAGCACGCTTTCGCCACGTCCGAGTACCCGGTGATACTTTCCATCGAGGATAACTGCACGTTGCCTCAACAGAAGAAAATGGCGTCTGCCATGCAGGTATTTTATTTATTTATTTCGGTTATTGCATTACATTTTTCTTCAATATTACATTTTATAACATTACATCATATATTTAATAATATACAGTTTGGCCCGCTTGAAACCGGAGCTCACTTATAAAATATATTGTTTTCAGCCGATTTATCTATTCTTGTTTCAGCAGAAAGAGTATGGGATGGTCTACGTTTACACAAATTTGGAAAATTTCATTTCAATTTTCAGGGCATACTATATTATTTTTTCATGAAAAAAATTGCGATTTTTTGTCAAAAGGAATCAGGAATCGACAACACCATTGGATTCAGCACCCTTCAATTAGGTTAAGCGCAAAATTTCATTGGAAAATTTCAATTGGCAATAAATTTATAACACACAAATTATTATCGAGTTATGACTAAAATTTGGCGCTCAACCTAATTGAAGGATGGTGAATCCAGTGTTGTGGTAGATTTTTTTTTTCAAAAATTGCTAAATAAATTTTTCAATTTCCAACATGAAAAAAATAACATTATGTCCTGAAAATTGAAATTAAATATTGCAAATTTGCGTAAACGTAGATCTCCGAATAATCTTTCAGAAATCGATTAAAAACTTTGGATTTTTTAAAGGTTTTCCGGTCCCAAGTGGGTCGCACTGTATGTAGGTGCAATACATTTTCCAAGTAGGAATTACATGCATGATCCGACAGTAATTCCTGGTATAAGATCATTCATGAATTACTACTGACTGTAATAAAAAGTACAATTAGTGAACAAAACATATTAGATATTTCAAAATAACAGTTCTCATATAAGAAGAGAAAGGAGACAGAAGAAAAAAAAAACTGTAAATTCATAAAGTCTGTCAGCTTTGATCATTTATTTTCAATAGAATATACTCTCTCTATTCTTGAATTGTAACATTTGTGCAGTTTTCAATATCGTCGAGTAGTTTATTAAATTTTGAGATCGCCTCATGTGTAAACTTTTTTTGCAGGAGTGTAGAATTTGCAGCTTCAAGATGAAACAAGTTATATTGTCTAGTGGGATGACAATGAAATTGGGAATTCCTTATCAATATGAAATTCGATTTGACCTTGTTGATGATATAATAGGAAATTTTAAGTATGTGTCAAGGCTTCTGGGCACAGGTATCAAACATATGGTCATAAAATTTTACTGCCAAAGAAGTATTCGGTGACATATGCTATATCTCTTTGCACCGAGAAACACAAAAATCTCCCCAAACATAATGAAGAAAACCACCTGCTCGTCCGCAACGTTGGCAACTTCTTGTGTGAATATATCTGTAACAGCAAATTATCTCAACTCTTAATACTTAGGCATAATTCAATTTTTCTGGCTGAATTGTTGACTCTGGTGGGAAGCTAAGCTAAGTTGTTTTGACATTTTTCGTTTATGTCAGTCTGCTCCACCTTGAACTGTAATGAGTCACCAGATATACTTCAAACCGGCTTTCAATCCAGGAAGTGTGCCCAGTGGAAAAAAACGATTCAAAGTTGCCATCCCGTGCCGAAAAATTCTCCTGAAACACAAAACACTGCCTATAAACAAAGAAGAAAGCTCCCTTGTTGTCTGCATCAACGCCACCTTCTTGTGTAGCAAATTATTTCAACTGTTATTATCTGCCTTTTAGATACTCAATACGTCTGGCTAAATTGTTGCATTAGTGGAAACAAAGTTGTTTTGACGTTTTCCGTTTGTCAGTCTGCTCCACCTGTCCAGGAAGTATTCTGTGATCTATCATCACCCAGTAGAAAAAATCGAAACTAAGCTGCCATCTCCCCCTCTCTCTGCGCCGAAAATTCTTCCTGAATTACAAAAACCTAATAATTTCGTCAATATTTCTCGCTAAATGGTTGACTCTGACGGAAGCAATGTTGTTTTGATGTTTTTCGTTTATGTCAGTCTGCTTCGGCATTGATGAATATGGAAGTATTTAGTGATCTAATATTTACCTACCCCGTGGAAAAAAACGAATGGAAGCTGCCATTTCCTTCGTCTTTGCGCCGAAAAATACTCTTAGAACAATACTTCAAATCGTCTTTCATTTCAGGAAGTGTTCGGTGATCTATTATTAACCTACCCAGTGGAAAAAAATGAAACGAAGCTGCCATCTCCCCTTTCTCTGCGCCGAAAAATCCTCCTGAAACACAAAAAACTCCCCGAGGGCCAAGAAGAAAACTCCCTTCTGATCCGCAACGATGCCACCGAAATGGACCTCAGGAACTCCATCAAGAACGGCCTGATGTACCTCGAGGACAGGGTGGACAAGGAGTGGAACCCCCATTTCTTTGTTCTTACTCAGACCAAGCTGTTTTATACGAGCAGGTTAGGTCCATTTGCAAAGTAGGTTATGATTGTTTTTGTATTCTCAAAGAATTCACAACTGGTAAGTACTTCTTTCAACATCATTAAAGATAGAGTTAAATATGGGTAGCATTATATTCTGATGTTGAAGGAAATCATAAAATCTTCAGAGTGACTCTGAGGTTCTGTTGAGGTCGAAAAATCTGGTACCCAACATTAGGACAGATTGCAGTTTAAGTTTCTTCAGATATCCAAAAGATGAGCCAAGGTAAGAAAAAGTGTATCCACAGGCATCTATGATCTGTTTGTTGTCCATTAATATCATTTATTCATTTTCATAGTATAAACACAGTGTGGTACAACCCCTGATGTTTGAATCAACATTTTAGTGATTATAAGAAATGTATAGTGGTTAGTGCGTAGATAGGATATTTATTCATTTGAAGCCGGACCTATTCACATAAAACACAGCATTCCTCAGTGATGACAAGCGAGTCGTCATTGGCTTGTCATTGGCTCGACCATGCTCGAAACGCGCAAGTCTGTGCGTGGTGGAATGCGCGCTGGTCTGGCACAAATTAAAACTTGTGGACACCAATATCAAACGTTCCGACACCTAGTGAAATTACTGTTTTCCGTAAGGGTGTATACTGTGCTAGGACACATAAGGTTGTTGTAATTTTGTCAAGAAATCTCAATCTCCAATTTTGTTTTGAACTCAGAAGAAATATTTTACTATTCCATTGAAATTAATGCAGTTGTTCAAGGATTCAAGAAAAATATTGGTTTATTGCTATACTTGAAGGAAACCAGTCAAGAGGTTTGCTTACAGAATTTTGCTCCAATTTCGTTTACTAAAAGAGGAATTTTTCCCTGTTAGAGCTGATGCTAGAATATTCAGACGCTAAGTAAATCTGAAATTAGGGATCGACCGATCCCGATATTAATATCGGCCTATCAGTTATACCTGCCTCACTGGCTGATTATCGTATCGGCCGATATCGGAAGCCGATAGACTTTTTTTTATTGGGAAGAAATCGAATCTGTTATCTGAGGATATTCTTGATAGGTGGTTCTTCAACAGATGTTAATATATTTCATATTGGACGTGTTGGCGATTTTTTTTTTGCCACCCGATGAAACATATTTTTTATGACAGGACAGAAGACAAATACAATAGTTAGGTTAGATTACGATCTGCAGAAACCAGATACGAAACCTAAATCTCCCGCCAAAAACCGAATTTGTAAGCGCATGTCCGGCGTTGTCATGAATATAAGTGTCAGTAACCCTAATAACACATGCCATCCAATGGATGACCATTTCAGGTCCAAAAGAGGTTCGGATGTACATGCATAAGAAATGTACATCCATTGGATGAACCAAAATGCCTATCCAATGGAATACCACTGACACTTTTCCAATGGATACCCAAAAAAGTTCCGGATATTCATGGACATGAATTGTACATCCATTTAGTAAACCTAAATGCTCATTCAATGGATAACAAGTGGCAGTAACCCTAATAACATAGGTAATCCAATGGATGTCCATTCCAGGTCCATAAGAGATTCGGATTTCCATGGCCAAGAAATGTACATCCATTGGATGAACCAAAATGCCTATCCAATGGAATATCACTGACACTATTCCAATGGATATCCAAAAATGTTATATATTCATCGACATGAATTGTACATCCAATGGATAATAAGTGGCAGCAGTAAGATGGGTTGAACTCTGTTGCAATCACTAAACTCCACTTGGCCAAATATACCTGAATCTCAAGGATTTCCTTGAGAAAAAAGTTCTTATTTTTTCATGAGAACCTTCATTGAGTGAATTTTCTGCATTTTTTTTATTGTGCACTATTTCAGCAATGATTTAGGAGTAGAAATGGCAAGATATTGGTGGTTTTGTCTACATTTTAATGAAAATAATATAACGCTGACAAACATCGAAGAAATGAAAGCTTTGTTATAGGAGACCAGGTACTCATAGGAGTTCATGCCCTTAGTGACTCTAAAGTGCCGTAACTTCTAAACTTTCTCCGAGAAGAGATTGTCCTAATACGAATCGAGAAGGTGATTCCGACTCATCTGAGGATTCATTGGAATCAGCTGACTTGAGTTGAAGTTCAAGAAGATGCATTAAGCTTGTCAATCCTTATGCTTCCATTGTCGTTTTGCCAATTTGTTTATGTTGTACCACATACGAGGACGTTTATGTGATACAAAGGGGGAGATTGTGGCGAGGTGAATTTCACCCTGTCGATACGCATGTCAAGAGGAAGACAAGTAATCAACGAATGTCATCAATCTGACAAAAAATTATTACATATTCTGATCCAATTTTGACTCATAACGTTCAGTAGTTGTGTCTATTGTTTCCTCTATACTTTTCTGTATGCGGTGAAGTGTGTATAGGAGTTAAAAAAGTTCTACCCTTCAGTTATTTCTTATCATTGGAAAGTAACTGGAAACCACCCACGTCAATTATGGTTTATTTTTTAATGTTCCCTGTTATAAACATATACGTCAATTGTTTCTTGGGAATAATAAAGATGATGATGATGAGGTGAATCACCCTGTATGTTCCACTTACAGCTACAAGACCAGTCAGGAGGCGGAACGGTCGGAGGACGAGGAGGAGGGGGGCGCGGGGGGGTCGTTCCGCGGAAGGGGGAGGGCCAGCGTGCCCAACGAGGAGCTGCACTTCAGCGAGAAGTGGTTCCACGGCAGGCTGCCGAAGGGCAGGGAGGAGGCCGAGCAGCTGCTGAGGGCGTACTCGCATCTAGGTAAGAGGAATCGAACAATCCAATATGCTTTTTTCTGTTCACATAACTAAAATGGCATTTAGCGTATGGATATGTACCACGCTAAATCGCTAAATGATCGATTAATCACGAATTGACGATCTGTGATTTATTCGAAATATTAAACACGTTACCATGGCATCACGATTTTTTGAACACATCACCATGGCAACACAGTTCATTAAAGACAGCTTCTGTAATTTCAGACATGTCTGGTCTGTCAATTGTATTAACTGTCAACTGTCATTTTCGAATCAGAATTATTCAAACAATTTTCGTTTGTATCAGAATTCTTCATTAAAAATATATGCGATATGTAGACGAAAGTGAAATCGAAGAGAATATTTTGGTACTTGCATATCCATCTTTGAGAACAATTTATTCTGCGCTAAGCATGACAATAAACGTGAAACAAAGGTTAGTAAGCAATGGACTGGAGACATCTACAACCAATATCACTTATACGTGTCTCGCTGGTTGCATGAAGTTTCGTGTATTATGTTCTCAATTCCCATTGCTTTCGAATTATTTTGTAGGTTAGCAGGAATAGCAGGTATGTTAATGCAATTTTCGGAGTTCGTAGAAAAAGGCGAGGCGATGATGATCATTAGTGGTGACATGTTCAGCGAGTCCACAATTACTTTTAAGAAGTCTGCAATCACTTTTATGGCCAAGATAATCCTATTTGGAATAGATCATGTGCAGTTTATTGCATTCCTTGTAATGACTGTTATCTAAAATGTATTGGTCAAACTACTCAGAATCTCAAATCTAGGATATCTGGCCATAAAAGTGATTGCAGACTTCTTAAAAGTAATTGTGGACTCGCTGAACATGTCATCACTAATGATCATCATCGCCTCGCTCGTCGTAGTCCAAACAACGCGTGCGACAAAATAGTGTCTTATAAAACTTGTATAATAATATGCTATTCTGTAGCCATATATGAACCTTATACTAGCTTCCTTCATTCTAGGAGACGGCACCTTCCTCGTACGATCCAGCGTCACGTTCGTCGGCGAGTACTGCCTTTCCTTCTGGCGCGACGGCCAGCCGAACCACTGCCGCATCCGCTCGAAGCAGGACAAGCAGCAGACCAGGTACTCGTGATGAGCCGTTATTTGCGGAACGTTTATTTTGCCACGTCATTTTTTGATAACGTTCCACCCGCATTTCACGTTTTTTTCCATAGAAATCATATTATATCCAGGGTGATCCGGTTGGTAATACAAAAAATTCAACAGTGTGTTGTACTCGTGACAGATGCGCTGCGACCTTATTAGATCTATTGTGCCCCATCTTCTTCTGCTATCTCAAGGTTTTCTTGTTTATAGCAGCCTCCCAAGCTTCAATTCTTTCAGGAATCTGAGGATTTTGAGGGGATCTGTTTGTGGTATTTCTACATCAAACACTCCAGCAAGACTTGGTGGGGTGTTTCTGGATGGTGCTGTCCTCCTCTAAGCCAAGCTTCCTTAGGTATTCTTTGAGTCTACAATGTCCTGTTAGAAATCCCGTTATTGCTTTGAGGCTAATTTTGCTGAGATTGATCAGTGTTTTCGATCTTGCTCGGTTGAAATTGCCGAGGAGATCTTTGGCCTGCCGCAGTCCTGGAAGTCTTCACCAGTGTGTTACTCTCATTGCTTCTTCAGCTTCATTAAGTTCTTCTTGGAAATGAGAATTTCCAAGGCCGCAGAATGGTTCTGGTCCGATTAGTGGCGTTGATGCTACTTTTCGTGCCAGAATGTCTGCTTGTTCATTTCCCGATCCAGAGAAGGATTACCTTATTGTTCATGCCTAGATCGTTGAGTTTGTCTAGGCATTCCCAAACCATCTTTGAGTAAGGAGCTCAATGCTTTGATGGCTGCTTGGCTGTCGGAAAGGATAGCGATCTCCTTGTTCCGGTATTTCCGGTCGAGGTTGAACTCAATGCACCTTTCTATGGCGTGAATTTCCGCTTGAAAAATACTGGGAAACTGGCCTATCGGTTCGGAAAATTTAGTGCGAGGCCCAAACACTCCTGCTCCAGTTCCCTCGGGTGACTTAGACACCCTTCCATATACTTCCACATAAGCATATACTTTCAAACTCGTCGTTTTCGAGATATTGGGTGTTGAAAATACGAGTCTGAATATTGTTTTTTGATGAAAAGTTCGAAACATACTGGTTATCTTTCATTGTATTGCATATTTGCTTCATCTTTTGTTTTCGTCTATAAATATTGTATATTTCTTGGGATCAATAAATGGTCTCATTATTATTATTATAACACCTATTCCTACCATTTTCCCTTGGTTCTCACGATGTTCTCTGAACATGTTTGTGGGAACCAGAACATTAAAAAATATATATTGGGCTATCTCCAATACAGGGTGTTTCTTAAGTACGTGTAGAAAATTCAGGAGCATTTCGCTGACGTCAAAATATGAAGAAAAGTTCGTATAAATATATGTCCGAAAGTTATTCGTTTCTGAGATAGAGAGTGTCAAAGTTGAATTTTTATCTTTGCTTTTTGTTAATGAATTTCAAAATAATTGTGATATTCGAATGAAATGTTTTTTGGAAAGTAATAACTTTTAATAGATAAATAGATTTCTAGAACACTTTTATGTAAAACATATATTCTTGGTAGAGGTCGCTGCGAGCAACTTTTTTTAAGTTATTGGGATTTGAAATAATCGTTGCATCTGAATTATTTCCATGGGGCTCGTAAAATTTTACGCAATGTTTCTCGTGCTTGTCTGTGGATCTTCTTCGATTGCCTGAAGAACAGCTCAGGGAATCTTTCATTTGATTGTTATTTTTCTCAATTGGAAGAATTCAAAAAAGTAGGTACAAAGAAGTAAGGATCATTTTTTGCTGATATTCCAATGTTGAATGTAGGAGAATATTGAATGGATGCATTGATTATTTCAAATCCCAATAACTCGAAAATAGTTGCTCGCAGTGACCTCTACCCGGAATGTATTTTTTACACAAAAGTGTTCTAGAAATCTATTTTTCTATCATAAAACGTGATACAGGTACGCACACAAAAGTTATGACTTTTCAAAAGACTCAAGACATGTAGGTGGCGCCACCAACGAAAGAGACAAACCAACATAAAATTTGATAGTGTCATTGAAAAATACCTCTAGACTTCGAGCGACTTTGAAAGCTATTTCAATTCAGATAAAGAAATATTTTATATGATTTCTGTGAAATGTGCAGTTCCTACAACATTGGGATATTTAGTACTCGATAAACAAATGAATGGTGAAGGTATTATACCTCCCAAAATCCAGAAATCCGCGAAAAGAAATATGTACGTTCTCTGGTCATTTCTTCTTTGAATTGAAATAGCTTTCAAATACTATAGAATTAGTTCCAACCTCGAGAGGGTTATTGCTTCTGATACATTTCAATTTTCTCTAGTTTCTTCGGAAACAGAGGGCATTCAAATGAAAAACATTTCATTCAGCCTGTATATAAGGTATTGCATTTTTGGAATAGGTACCGCACTAATCTAGCCGGAATATTTTTCAAAATGAATTGTTGGAAAATAGCCCATTTCGGACTCCAATGGAGCATATCGGGTATCAATCAAATCCGTACATTCAAAAGAATATAGCCGGCAAACGAGTCTGGAGACCTATGCTAATATTGATGACAATATCTCTGGCTCCTCAAATCGTACATTCCAAAATTCAAGGAAATTAACCGATTCTTTTTCAAAATTCAGGGTATTCAAAAACCGCATTTTTTCAAGAAACTTGGACTGTATCTTTTTACTCACCCTATATATGAAATGAGTATGCGAAGTTCTCAACATTAAAGAATGTCTGATATATATATATATATATATATATATATATGACATGCTCACCAATTTCCGATTAAAAAAACTAGGGATTGACGTACCCCTATTTTCGAACCACCCTGTATATAAAAAAAATCAGTAAACTTCGATCGAGATTGAGGAAGTTCGTCCAGGCTTCAATTGGATATTTAATTCTCATGAAAGAACTCACCCTGGTTGGTTTAAAATTAATCGAATTGGATTTTTCTTTGTTCACCATGTTGTAGAGCCCAAAACGTAAAATTATAATGGATACGAGATCCAGATGACATTGTACCATCATTCAGGCATGTTATCCCATGAATAAATGGCCGTTTTGTCAATTCTCGGAGTTGTTAGAAATTCTGAGCAGAAAGCTTCACTTTTCATCTCGAAAACTAGTCACCCGATTTCTTTGTGCCCATGGACACTTTTGCTTAGGAAGTCAAAATCTACATCATACCAAAAATTCAAGGAATTCCACCGAAAGCCATTTTCCATAAGGAAAGTGCGGGGTCCTTTACTTATATGAATTTCCACCTCTGCCAGGTACTACCTCGTCGACGCCAAGCACTTCGACAGCTTGTACGGCCTGATCACGCACTACCGCAGCGCCCCGCTGGTGACGGCCGAGTTCTCGATCACGCTCAAGGAGCCGGTACCGCAGCCGAACCTGCACGAGAACGAGGAGTGGTACCACAAGGTGAGTGGTAGCTAGGGAGCTGGCTACCTGAATTTCTATATGATTTGTTCATGTGGCAGACATTATTAACACTAAATAGTCCATATGTATATAACATTAGGTCTGTTTGCTGTTTCGGCATGAAATTCATATTGTACACTACATATTTCTAGAGTTACTGGATGGTATTAGTTGTTAGAGTTCCTAAATGTACTTGACACTGCTGTTTTGACGTTTTTTGTATATCAGAGTACGGACACTATGACAAGCACTGACAATCAGACATATAACCACAAATAAATTGATGGAAGAAGCGGGAACAGACAGTACACGGACGTACATGACATAAATTTCAAAGGTTTGGCAAATTGAGAGAATTAGGAGAAAGATGCAAGTTTGTGCAGTTTCCAACAGTGAGTACACGGGAAATCAATTCACTCTATTCGAATTTCCATCGGGTAACGTAATTCTACAAAAATGGAAACAGAATATGATGCGACCGGCATGGAATATAGGTTCAGGCCACCAAATTTGCGAGGTTTTCAAATTTCTTGGTAGGATATAGAACATTTTTCAACGCATTTTTATCAGGTACACTTCAAAACGAAAGATTTGATGTTGAATAATAGGATCGTATTGAGAGAAAGAGCCAAACCCACAATGTATAAACTGAACGAGTATCGAAAAGAACCCTATTCCAATTTAGAACCAACAAGAAACGAAAATCTTGCAGATAATGAAATTCATTTCGAACCTATTTTGAAAGAAAAAGATTTGAGAATCGAATTCTTAGAGCAGAAATATAATACGGTTTACGCGTGGATGAGTGTGAGGAATTCAGGAGACAAATAGAAGAAAAAAATAGCAATGTTCACGGCGGTCTATGAGGCGCTGAAGTCCATTTATTCCTACTTCCATATGTCTTGGAGAACTTTCATTATTTATCATAACTGAAATCAGCTGATATTGTTGCCATTTATTCATTTGTTCATTTATTGATTACTTCTTACCTATCACTTTTGTACAAGTGAAATTGTTCCATAAGAAATAAAAGTATGTTTCATTGGTTGAAATTTATCAGTTTTTACCCCATTCTAAACTTTTGTGATGAAAAATCTTCAACTGAACGTATATATATATATATATATATATACCTACATATGAGAGACTTATTTCATAGGAATAGTATATGTATTTCGTTGGTATATATGTACATATCAACTTGATATCGACCTCCATTGAGGTCCTTCAGCCTTATCATTCCATATTTCGAGAAGAAATAATTTTATAATCAATTTATCGTACCCTTTTACCCACTCGAGGAGACGCTATGCACTCTCATTCAAAAATCAAAGACAGTGAAAGATATATGGATGTACTCTTCCCAGGACTTGTGGAGGAAGGAAGATGCGAGGATCCTTTATCTAAGCGAAAAACATGTTCTTCTCCTTGTCCTTGTCTGGCAAAACATATGATTTGCTTCAGAATCGTTTGTGGTTATGTTTGATTGTCACTGCTTGTCTAGTGTCCGTACTCGTATATACAAAAAACGTCAAAATTGCAGTGTCAAGTACATTTAGGAACTCTAGTATTAGTACTCTAGTAACTGTTAGTGTTTTTGAATGTTTAGATTTATTGAGTTACACACCTTGCATTGTGACAACAGCATCATGGTCGTTTTATCTTTTAAAATTGTCCGAATTCGACAATAAATTTTATGAAAAGCATATTTGAAACTGGGGTCCAGTTTTCTGGAAGAGGGGGGTCATGTCTCGAGTAGAACATACGGTATATCAGTAATTTCCATAAACATTAAGTTAATCAAATCATCTGTTGACATTGAACTATGAATACTGACCAAGGAACTCTCATGAGAAACGTGCAAATCTAATAAAATGATGTATATAAATATTGGATGTGAAGGTTCTTTGTTGTTTATTTATATTTGTCATTGCTACCCATAATATTTCAAGCTTCAATAAATAACGTTATGTTTGAATATAGTCTCGTACTTTCAGTTACCCCTAAACTATTAGTGCCTCTTCGAATATTACCTCTCGCAAAACTATTAAGCCTTATACAGTGTGTCCCACTTACCATGCTCACCATGTGTATCTTTTTAACGGTAAGAGATACGAGGTCGGTTAAATGACACCAAATGTGGAGTTTGTCAAGGCCAACTATAATTTGAAAAAATATTTTGATAAAATCTATTCGTTTTTGTTTTATACGCAAAAAACAGATTTTGATCATTTTCATGTCTCCTCCGTAACTTCTTTATTTATGAAAATATTCAAAGAGGAATTTCACATTCTCATGGCAGTTTTTCAAAGTGATTTTGAAAAAAATATGAAATTTATACCAACTCTTCTAGAATTTGAGATATCAGCACCAACTTTAGTTTTTCAAATGTAGGTCATAGCTCACTATGACTTAGTTACAAATAACTTTTTTTTCTCTCACAGATGATATGTCACAGTGATAGCTTTGTGTTGATAACAACGGAGTTATCGTCATTTATACAAAAACAAAAAATTATTCGGGAGCATCCATCTTGAATTTATAAATTTTAACGAAAAAATCATGATCTCCGACCTCGAAAACCCCCACTTACCAATTTTGAATGGAATCGGACCAAATCTTGTCCGCCATCTTGGAGCAGCAATTTTTTTTAATTTCAACAAAAATTCCATGACTCCAATGAACTTGAAATTTAGCAGGTGTTCATAATTTCGGTGACAATACATTATGGAATTTTTGTTGAAATTAAAAAAATGGCTGCTCCAAGATGGCGGACAAGATTTGGTCCGATTCCATTCAAAATTAGTAAGTGGGGGTTTTTGAGGTCGGAGATCATGATTTTTTGTTGAAATTCATAAATACAAGATGGCGGCTTCCAAATGATTTTTTGTTTTTGTATAAATGACGATAGCTCCGTTGTTATCAACACAAAACTATTACTGCGACATATCATTTGTGAGAGAAAAAAAAGATATTTGTAACTAAGTCATAGTGAGCTATGACCTACATTTGAAAAACTTAAGTTGGTGCTGATATCTCAAATTCTAGAAGAGTTGGTATAAATTTCATATTTTTTTCGAAATCACTTTGAAAAACTGCCATGAGAATGTTCTAAAATTTGTTCTATCCGTCATTCGGTTGCCCCCTTACGAGCAACCCTCAAAAGTCTTCGAAAGTCTTGTGCGAGCAAGGAATGTTGGGGGCCTTACCTTTTAACGTGTGATCCCAAACACTTTGAATGAGAAATTCCTATTTGAATATTTTCATAAATAAAGAAGTCTCGGAGGAGACATGAAAATGATCAAAATCTGTTTTTCACGTATAAAACAAAAACGAATAGATTTCATCAAAATATTTTTTCACATTATAGTTGGCCTTGACAAACTTCACATTTGGTGTCATTTAACCGACCTCGTATCTCTCACCGTTGAAAAGATACCCAGGGTGAGCATGGTAAGTGGGACACACTGTATATCGATATGGATGGACTAACCATATATTATATCGTGACCTAGTAGAAAAGGGAATATTACCTCTCGCAAGCCAAGCAAACCCCTTATAAATCGATATGGGTGAACTAATTATATATTTTATCTTGACACTATCATATACAGTTTTTTGTTTTTGTTACATGAACAGCTATTTTTTCATTTATTTATCATGTATTGTAAGTTTTGTCAAAAAACAAGATTTTCATCTTCGTAAAATAATAGTTATTTATTATACAAGGGAAAAAAGTTGAAGATTATAGCTCCAGGTTGTGTTGTCTCCCGACGCGTAGCACAGAAAAAAGTATATTTTTTATTATTATTATCATTATTAAGGGTACCGGCAAGAGCCAGGCCGAGGAGGTGCTGCGACGGGAGAGGACAGAGGGGGCCTTTCTGGTGAGGCCCAGCGAGAATGACGCCAACTGCTATACGATAAGCTTCAGGTGAGTGGTGAATAAATCACACTGAATATTACATTTCTGTACCATACAGATATCTACTTGAAGTTTTTATTTATATTTTATTTTCACCTACCCTCAAGTATGAAAATGATCTATTTATTATACTCGATTGGAAACAGTATTAACGACTGTCAATAGGGAAGTTTCCTTCAGATGAATTTTCATAAAATAAGTTCGGAACTCTCCAGTTTCATGTCCACGCTGTACAGAATGGTGACCGATAAAGTCGTTTTTATTTTCAAATCGAAGCAATTTCTAATTTCCGGGGTGGCAAACTGTGTCGTACATTCTGAATCTAGTCTGAAAATAGCTAATGGTTAAGAATATAGCTACCGAATAGCTAACGAATGGAAAAATAGAAGTAAAACTGGTAAACAAAAACATACATAACCACAAATGCACTCGGAGCAGGAATGCAGAAGGTAATTGTCTTCATTCTGACAGGTTGTGGTCTTGTTATTTATGCATTGAAATATCTCGAATAGAGCTCGATCCTAAACGAAAATATCATTGAATCAATGAATCACTATCGGCTACATTCAATGATACTATCCTTCCTAATTCACTGCCATCGGTCAGAACAGAATGAAGCCGACACCCATGGCTCCTTCCTCTTGTTGTGCCTGTCAGTATTTTGTGTGGTGTAGACGGACTCGAAGTATTAGGCGCTGTCGCAAGATATAATCTGCAATTTTCCTAGAAAATGGATCCGTTTTATTAAGGAACGAATTCCAACAAGTTATGAATAACATATTGTGACCAACAAGTTATGAATAACATATTGTCACGACCCATGGCTATAGGGTGGTGACTCGGGGGTGAACTCGCTTGGGAGGCCGAGAAATCAAAACAGTTGTATAAAGCTACAGTTTATTGAAAGAAATTAGTTTCATTAGTGATTTTAACAAACGAGATTCAATGCAAACGTAAATACATCAGACTTCGCAATGAAAAGAAACATTTAATAGTTTGACAACATAACAATTGTGACATTAGTACTCACAAAATAATCTCTAGCAGATGCAGGGGATGAACCATAGTGAAGGCTAGCTGATCAGATCCAAACTGATCCCTTGCCTTATCGGCTGTTCGATATTTATTTAGAATATTTTGATATAGTCAGCGTTTTACTCCATATGCGGGTATTTCATTCCGGTTGAATGAGCTGCCAACGTGAGTGAAACATTATACTCGTTTCCTTTAATCGAATGTTATACGATAAAATGAATAATGAACTTTTATTAATGAATCTTGAATCAATATAATTTTGAATAGTAGCTATGGATATTTTTGGTTCCTATCGTGACAATATTGTAATATAACGATAGTGAAAAATTATAGATACTATCGCAAAATATCATAATTTATCTTTATTAGTAATCAACTTCATTCAGCCAATGAGAGATTCATGGGAATTATTCATAATACTTGACAAAGTTGGATTGAAGAACCTATTATATCCCATTGCTGTTATGATATAATTATTATGCTTTCAAAGATCAATTTCCGGAAATCTAGACATATTGATGATGTCGGCAACGTCATACTGGCACAGGGAATCATATTTCAACTCTGTGTGAATGTGGATTTTCAGAAAGTAAGTCATAGGAATGGTGGAGGAGCCAAGTTCCTCTTTTATTTATTTTTTTCTGAAGTAAAATTTGATCTTACGAAAAAAAAACGTATGTATTAATTTTTCACAAACCCCAATATCCTAGCAGATGTTATTGCTTCCTGAGCGTTAAGGTTTATTTTAAAAGTTTATTACTGCAAGAATACATCTTTTCCCGACAAAGTTCTTTCGAGAGAGGGCAGAGTCGAAGAGATGAAGGCGAGAGACTCCGTACGAGACTATCTTCTTTTATTGATGTGCGCATGACAGTCTCCTGCGAGGTTAACTTACCTTTATTCACAGAACCACAAAACACAACACTCCAGTCAAATGTCAGGCAAAGAGCATCATAGGCGTACCTATGCACATTAGACGTATTTTCAGTTCTAAAAATGACATTGATCTGAAATTTTCTATACAGAAGTTAGTGATTGAGTCCTGTTCAATGAAAATATTTTTGAGATGGCGGCACTTCCGGTCATACCGGAAGTGGACATCAACTTCGTTATTTCAAATAGAATGCTATATATATATTTTTTTTTGAGATATGCATATTTCATTATGCATGTTTCCTTATTTGTATGTAATAAATACAAATTTTCCAAAGATGATATTCTTGTAGAAAAGTCAACGAAAATTATCTATCATTTTGGGTGAAATTTCTATTCATTTGTACATATGGGATGAAAATCAAAATATGTAGCTGCCCATCGTCGAATATTCTAAGTTTCGATTTGAAGACATTTGACCTCGAGCAATAAATAATGTTCCACCTGCGGTGCAATTTTTTGTTTCTAATCTGACCTGATCTATTTGTAATGAATATCTAGATCGACCCTTATCAAGCTGCTTATTCTCATCAATCAATTATACTAATTAATCAGTACTGAACTTCTTCATGAAATTATTTGAAATACCCTTTTTTTTTTCAGGGCAGATAAAAAAATTAAACACTGCAGAATCAAATTAGAAGGAAGGCTATATACAATTGGTAACGTTGAGTTCGAAAGTTTAGTAGCTTTAATAAATTATTATGAATCTCATCCTCTGTATAGAAAGGTGAAACTCAGCAATCCTATTAGCGAGGAGATGGTCAGGAAAATGGCGATGGTGAGTTTTTTCCTCTATATTTATTCATGTAAATATGTACAAAATATATATCTCCCGATTACAAAATTATTTTGTTGTCTACAATTCAGAATTGCACTATACCGACCAAATAAGGTTTTTATTTCAAACCTATATTAAGAATAAATATGAAGTGCTCATCAGTTGAAGTGGTAGAAAATAGAAAAAACATCAAGTGTGTTTGCTAGTAGGTAGTGAATACATTTTACAATAAATATGAGAAGTAATTCTAACAATATTCCTCTTTTTGGAACAATACAATATTACTCTTTTTGGAACAAAAAACTCTTCAATAGTCAAACAATTTAAAAAGCTGTAGTGTAAATAATGTCTATAAACAATAGTTGCAATTTCCCTTTTATAAAAATCTGAGCAATATTGATTTCATTTTTCAACTGACTAGCTTAGTACTTAACCTAAATTAATTATTCAATCAAGATAACACTAAATCAGTCTTCTTTAATTTGTGGTGTCTGATATGCATGATGTCCGGATCATCTGAAAATAAAATGTGTTATTATGGTCATTATTAAGCGTTCATTATAGTTTGAAAATTTATATAAAAAGAGGTATTCAATTTTCTATGAATTGAACATAAAAAAATTCGCAGGTAAGACCGTCACCAATTTCAACTTATTATACTTCTTTGTTATTTGAATTTCATAAAATTTTGAAAAGGAATATTCTCAGATAAATTATGAACATGAAAAAATGGATATATATATATAAAAAATACATTGAGAATTCTCATTCTCTACGTGATGAAAATATCAATTCTTTCTCGGTTTATTCAAACTGAAAACAACTACTTTCCTGGCTATATGCCACGACGAACAATGAATTATATCTATTGAACACACACGATAAGATTTTGAAAAAATCTTCTGGAGTTGAGAATTTGCATTCTCCTTCAGATAAAAAATATATATGCTCATAATATCATTCTGAATATTCAACAGAAAACAACTACTTTCCTGTCTATTTGCCACGTCGAACATTGAATTATATCTGTTGGACATCCAAAAGGAGAGCATGAAAAATAAAAATCCTCGAAATCCTCTGAAATAAATACCCAATAAAGGGGTTCAAACTTGAACGATGGAAACTTGCTATTTTTTTAAACCCTCAATTGCAGATTCGTGATTAGGTTTTCAATTCAGAATTTCTTTCCACGTCCTGTATGATGAATATCAAGTTGGGTCTTAATTTCAGTCTTCTTTTTTTTATTTCAATGTGAATTAGATTAACATTTCTACATATTCAATACATTTTGCATATTATGTAAGTAGTGATGAAGAAAGCATGAATTCTCTTAAAATTCAAGTTCCAATATTTTATACTATCTTGAATTGTTAATTTTGTAAACCTGTTCCTTATGTTTATGAAGTATTCACAAATATTTAGTAAATTAATATATTCAAAAAACTATCGATGACTTTATGTCTTCCAAGCAGTGTTTTACACTGCATATATAGAACATGTTATTGATAGATTTCACTATATAAATTTCCTGATATTCGTCTAAGCCGAGGTATATTATTTTCCGAAATGCTTCCAGCATCATGGAAAATGAATAATTTATTCCCTATTTTCAGAAAGCATTTATTTTTCTCAATTATTTTCACCTAGTCCAGACTCATTTATACACACATCAATAATTATTGTTTCACATAACGAAATTTACTCAACATCGTATAAATTCGCCTAGAGCAGTCGGATGATGAATGTCCAAGTGAAAATCAAATCCAGTGGAAGCCAAATAATTATGTGGCGTTTTTAGAATAGTGGTGAAAAAAAATAGCCACATAAGTATCCCAGGAATAAATCTCTCATAACTTACTCAATCATTGTGCTCAACAATCAATCTTACCTCCATCTTATTGAACTTCCTCGGCCCTTCTCAGCTGGTCCCCCTCAACCTTCGGAACCGCCACTGCCCTTATCATGTGAAACGTAGGGCTGTACGGCACCCTCACATTCAAAGTATTCGGCTGCAGCTGCTTGGGGTAGTACGCGTACTGATCGAAACCGTACTGCTGTCGCTGAGCATCTTCGGTGTTGCCATCATAAGGAACCGGTATGACGAATCTCAGCTGCTGGGCATAGAGCAGGGGCTCAGGCGTTTTCTCGCCTGGTCCTGGTGGTGTAACGCTGACCGTAGCCTCAGGGGTGGTCGCTGTGGTCGTAGTTTCCCCTGAGGCGTAACCGTAGAAGGGAATGAAGTTGCTCAAGCCGTAGCTGTAGCTCGCCTCGGTTGTGGTCGTGGTAGGCTCTGTGGTAGCTTCGACGAAACCTCCGTTGGTATTCTGACTGTACGATGGATAGTAGTAGCCGTTAGGGTACGGAGAATATCCAGTCTGTGGGCTCACATAGCTATTAGCTGGCACGTAGCCATACGCGTTATTTTGGAGAGTTTCTTGGTAGTTAGGGGTGTCCAGGAATTGAGCCGGTGGTGTGTAGTTAGCTGGGTATTCCACAGCTGTGGGTAGGCTCTTGTGCCAATAATAAACCATCCTGCCGTCACTCAGTATGGTCTTCTGTAGAATGACTGGTTCCAAACGGATGTATTTTATAGGCGTTGGGGTTGTTTGTATGGTATGGCTTGGCCTCCTATCTACTGGTACAGGGGACTGTGCGGTTATGTAGAACCCATTGGGTCTTGATGTTGAAGAGTACTGTGGTCTCGTGGTGGGTCTAGGGTTGATATAGATGGGTCTCGCGTGCATTTCTGGGTACTGGTGGTTGGTAGGGCGGTTAGGGTTCTCGTTGGTTCTGTTCAAATTGAGCAGCTTCTGCAGGTGTTGGCATTTCGACTTGAGGTCTTCGATCGATAGCTTGTCTGGCTCGGTTTTTTCTTGGGGCTCGTATTTGGTTACGACTGGATAGTCGGATGTGAAGTTGGATTGGGAGATTGTTATTGGATTGGTTGGTTCGTTTGGTGTGGGTGGATCGGTGTTGGTGGTTGTTGAAGTGTTGTTCAGTTGTCGAGAGCGGTAATTGGATAGTTCTATGGATCTTAGCGAAGCATGTGAGGATGCTGGTAGAGCTACAGCGTGTTTCAGAAACACTATCACGCTGACCTGGAATGATATTTGAAATATGTTACATTTTGTAACAATGGATTATGTATTAAAGGCAATAGATATTCCATACGGAAGATGTACATAAATTTCAATATTTTGTTTATTTATGTTGAAATGTGCTAGGGTAATCGCTTTCCTTCAGTGTGAACTATCTCGGGTCTGAAGTTATTTTTTTTAATATGAACAACGAATTCTAACATTATGAAATGAATTGGTATATTTACAAGTAATATCAATATAATTTTTTTCAACATTTTATCTGAAAAACTTGTGATACATATTCCTGCAAATTAAAAAAATCACGCTGAGTTTAATGTGGTAAAAATATTATATCAGAAGAAAAATATGCTTCAGTTGATGTATCATCACTGTGTTTTATTGTGTCAATGGTTTCTGTAAACGGGAAACACAATACCTACCTCCTCTCCCTATCCTCTCAAGATACACACGATGTTCTTTGAACATTATTACAGGAATTTCCTTTCGTTCGCTCGAGACATATAAAAAATAAGGCACCAAATTAAAACAAAAATTCAAGATACTTACGAGCGATGTTTAATTTCCAAATTTCAATATTCACTTCTGAAAGCAGAATAGATAAATGTGGTTAAAACTTTTTATAATAAATTCAGGTAAGGAATTTGCTACGAAGTTTGTCATTCTTATTGATATTTCAGATAGTGAATTATAGGAAATATATACCCTATGGTTCTCGAACTCTAATACTCATGGTGTAGAGGGTTAATCATTAAATTCAACTAACGACATGAAAATGTCCATTCATTTCTGTGGTCAAAATTGTTTTACAGGGTTTGATGAAAAAAAGTTGGATAAAAATTACAACTTCTTCAAATACCTACTGTTATTGTCTGTGGAACCGAATAAAAATTATATCACCACTCTACTGTGTCCTCTTTACAGAAGCCATTGACTCAACAAAACACACTCATGACATATGACTTTCTTCTTAAAAAATGCTATTTTTACCATGTTCAATTCAGCGTATTTTTTCAATTTGAAGGAATATAATATATGTGTCACAAGTTTTTTTTAAATAAAGTATCGAGAAAAAAATATTAATCAAAAATACAGGGTGGTGACAAAAGCATAAGGGATATTCCTCTCAACAAAATATGAAAAAAGGTTGAAAAAGAGTTTTTTATCAATATCTTGAAAACGCTCATGAAATTTCATGGTTTATTTACACAATTATCAGACGTTTACTGAGCCCATTAGATTTGATCCAGAATGTACAGGGGCGTACCCATCGATTGTAGAAAACAAGCTCACCCTGTGTTTTTTATTCTTCTTGAATATTCGGAGAAATCCACTGAAAATACATTTTTTTTTCGTATCTTGCTTTGTTTTCGAGAAAAACGGACAATACCAAACCTCAGCATATATAAAAATCTCTAAACTCCATAAGGAAAAGTAAAAAGGCTTATAAATTAAAATTTATGACACATTATTATTCATGAAAATGAAACAGACATTATGCGATTTTCAAATTTTATGAGAAATATTTTTTCAAGATAGGAAAAACTCATTTTTTCGAACTTGTACAGCAATGTTCACCCTATATCTATGTATACCAATGTTATTATGAACTTTTTTTCATATTTTGTCACAACAACACTGAAACACCTTGGAGCAATAACTTGCGGAGTTTTATACAATTTTTAACAATAAAAAGTGAAATTATGAATTGCATTCCAATCTGAGACAAATTTTTTTTTATGTTTATCGTTACAGCAACTTGTGTTGCTTGTTATTAGGCAGTCATACATTTTTGTCTCAACCAGGTGAATTTAAATTGAATCAAATTCAAAATTCATTATTTTATTATAAAAAGATAATTTTGAAGAACTCACCAAAAAACACAACCTCCGTTTCATGACT